TACAGTCTTGGAAACCCTGTACAGGGTCACTATGAGTCGAAACTGACTCAACGGTGCATAACCACCACCACCACCATGTGCCCTGCCAAGAACAGGGTCAGAAGAAAGAAAGCAACTTCACCAACAACTCAGTAACTCACTTGAAGATGTTGTCATGGACCTGTACAAGATCTTTTCAGCCTTACATGGGTAGAAATTTGGTTGTCCTTGTAGTTTATCGCAGCGGCGGTATCTATATTCTCTCCCCATCTGTATTATACACTTTGTGGGCTAGGAACCCTATTCTTCACATTTCTCAAGCAATCGTCACATGTGAAATTTTCCTGATATTGTATGTCCCCTTACAGAGAATAAGCTAAAGAGTAGGAGTGGCTTACACTGATGTCTTGTATCTTTGACCATGACCTAGTCTATTCAGGATGTTCAATCCTGGGTCCTTCTTTAGGCTAAATGGTACTAAGAGTCTTTCACTGTATTGGATTCACTAATTCTTGATCATTTCTGCTTTAGTTTTACCACACCAGATCCTGGCATTTTCAACTTGTTCCTGAAACTTTAGATAGTGAGGGAAATCTGCTCTTGTATTTCAATTTGTATGCATTCTTTTCTTGAAAATATCGTTTCTCCTGAGGCAAACTTGAATTGTGCAAAATTAAAATAGTAGGATATACTTAAAGTATTACTGAAACCTCACCCCAAATTTTAAGATAAAAGTTGAAAAGAATTGCTTCATTTCAAAGCAGGCAGACTTGAATAAGTAAACTGTGTTTAAGCTATAGCCATATTGCAGCGCCGTTTTCACCAATAAACACGGATGCCTGACGTCCTTGGGCTCAAGTGGCCCTTATTGTTGTTTAGTGCATAGGAGCTTGTGCTTGTGGGTTTTGTATCTTACATTTCCATTATCTTAACATCTGCTTTTTTATCTTTTTTTTTTTTTTTTTTGCATGCTATTACAATAATCAAAGAGCTCCATTAAGCATTGGGCTGCTAACTACAAGGTCAGTGACTGAAATCTACCAGCCGCTCCATGGGATAAAGATAAGGCAGTCTGCTCTCATAAAGATTTACAGTCTCAGAAACCCATGTAGCAGCTCTGCGGTGCCCTGGAGAACCGCTCTGAGTCAGAATCGACTCATTGGCAGTGGGGTTGTTTAGTTATTAAAGTAGTCACCTAAACAGTCATTAAATGGTGATTGATAGTACTTGCAGTAGTTCAGAAATTAGCACAAGAGCAAGTAAGTTTGGAATGGAATCTAGATGTGATAAAACATGAAGATCAAACCCCTGATAAATATATACTGTTAACGTGGGACTAAGAACTCTAAACCGATGGAGATGATACCTAGAAAAGAGAATGGAGCATTGAAATAAAGATGTCTGCACTGGTAGAGATCTCTGCCTCCTGAGAATGTCTTTCTTCCTAGAAGAAAATGCGTTTTGAATTTTGCATCTACTGAATAATTCAAAGTCTTCCGAGAACACATCTGTTGTATAACATGCAGCCATCTTGTTCTTGAGTTTTTTGGTTTTGTTCTGGGGCTGTTTGTTTTTGTAAATAAAGTTATTATATACCAGTTTCAAGATCTCATTTTAAAACACTCTGGGACCCAAAGAATAAGTTGTGACCTATAGTAGCATAGAATATAAATGATGCTTATGAGTTGTTGCTAAGTGTCATTGAATCAGTTCCGACTCACAGTGACCCTGTATAGGGTTTCCACAGAATGACTGGTGGATTTGAACTACCGACCTTGCAGTTAACAGTCTAGTGCCTAGCCTAAAGTTCCACACCAGTACTCTAGTGTTTATGAATATTGTTGTTGTTAAGTGCCGTCAAGTCAGTTCTAACTCATAGGACCCATAGGATAGGATTTCCAAGGAGCAGCTGGTGAGTTTGAACTGCCAACCTTGCGTTCAAGCCATGACCTTGCAGTCCAGTGCATTACCCCACAGTGTCACACCAGGATTCCTCTGCTACTTTATAACCAGCTTTGTAACTTGATGCCATTCCTTTTCAGGTTTTTTTTTTTTAAAGGTTTCTAACTTTATTGCTTGTATACTCAAGGTCATAGGGACATTTGGGACAAGCATTAAATATCCTAGAATTGGAAAGAATCTTAGAGATCATTTTCCCAAGAGGGAAACAGATCGTTAGAAAAGGGTGGTTTGAATGGGTAAAAGAGGGGAAATAATGTTAAGATGCTTGGCTGTCTTTTGAATCTTTGTTTCCCCTGCCTGCTAATGTAAAATAGACACTTGAGGGGGAGAGAAGGAATAGCCAGAAACATCACCATAGAAAGCTTGTAAGTCTGTCTTTAGCCTGTAACTGATTGCAATATCTAAAATGGGGCTACAACGTGCCCAGTGAAGGAGGCTTCCTGCATTGCATAAGACCATAGGTGGAATCCTGAACCCCATCCAGAATCTTCTGAGGTGGGAAATCTCCACTTGAAAGGACAAGCAGACCAGCCTGGAGTGGCTAGAAGAACAGAAGATACTCCTTGAAAGAAAGACTGGCAGGAAAAATTAAAAACAATAACGGCAGTCAGACTGATTACTACAAGAACAAGCAAGTTGCTCGCCCAGGAGACATTAAGGCATGTGGTCAGGTCCCCTCAGGGCAAACCCCCTTCCAAGACTAAAACTTAAGGGGAATACACGAGCAGACATGCAGTCTGGCTGGTGACTGTGTTGGTCACCAATAAGGAGAAGTGGAGAAAAAACAGCAATGAAGTTGTGAGCTAAATCTGACCACGTTCAATAGATCCCTGTGAACCTGGGTGGAGACATGGTTGGCCAGCAGTATGGCATGACCTGGGGACTTCTAGGCCCAGAGGCAGCGACATAGCCATAGAGGACTAGTGCAGAGAGTGAAGCGTCCAGCTGATAGGAAGTGAGGGGAGATGCACAAGAACACCCATACTTGCAGCTAACACCCATTTGACCTGTCTTCAATGGGTGGATGATCAGAACTTGACTAAAGGAAGAAAGAAGAGGGAAACAAAAAGAGTAATCCACTACAATTTGATGAACTTGACCTATACATATGGATGCGCAGCTCAAAAGAGGGAACAAATCTTTACAGCGAGGATCATTCCCATCCCCCAGTGCACAGGTACACAGGGTTGACAGGAATGGGCAACTTAGAAATTGGCTACCCCAAAGGGCGGGGGCGCTGCAAAGGGAAGAAGTGACTGGCTTACAAACTTTCAAGAGGGAGCCTAGTTCCAGAGGGCGTCGGGGGGAGGTAGAATATCCACTGAGTGGTTTCCAATCTGTCTGGACAAAGGAGATGGGGATAAGACACTTGTGGTACAATAGTGAATAATTGCTATCAGGACTGACTGTGAGGGTTGGAAATGTAAAGGTAGATGTTTTGTAGCAAAATGAGGGGAGGTCCCTGGGACCATCAAGGGAGAAGAGCGGAGTGCGGGACCCTACCCAGAGACACAGTGATGCCAGAGATGGAGGCAAGATGATGATGTGGAGAGATGGAGTGGCTGGGGACTCTGGACTCAGGGAGGGAGAGGGGCTGTGTGCTGGTGGTGGGGGAGGGGGGACAGGCTTGTGGTGTGTACCCTTTGGTTGTTTAGTGATGCATGGTAGGGATTGTAATTATTGCAATGAAACGAAATACAATAGGATAAATGTAAAGCTAATGTTCTACCATGTAAACTATCACTCAATTCACAATAAAAACCTAAAAAAAAAAGGCAGCTCAGGGACACACTAATTTCAACAGCATATTTTTATTTTTATGGTATATTGGGGTAAGTCAATGAATATTGCTATAAAATTATAGAAAATTATATTCTTGAACAAGAATATCCAAATGTGATATTGAAAGCCATTGTTTCTCCACATACCCTCTGTCTAAGTCTGTACATTTCTAAGGGCAGTGTTTCCATCTCTCTAACCCTTCCCAAGAGAATTCTGCGCTATTCGATTGCACCAGGTCAAAACAGCAGTTTAGGCATCCTTGAGGGACTCAGATCATGGTCCTTTAAAATACTCTGAGTTTCAGGAACAAAAAGGAGTCTAAAGGAGCAAGATCAGGGCAGTAGGGTAGATTAAGGTTTCCTAAGGAAATTCTTATAAGACAGCCCTTGGCTACCCTCGAGACATGAGCAGGTGCATTGTCATGATGGAAAAAAAGAATCTTCAGTGCCCCTTTGCTGGCCTTTTTCTCACCAATGCCATCTTCAGTTTTCTGAAAACTTCCTAATAAGCCCCAATGGTTATCTTGTGTCTGTTAAGAAGCTTGATCAAGATGGGCCCATTGGAATCCTAAAACTCAGTCTCCATTACCTTCTGAGCAGACATCTTTGCTGTGGATTTAACTGGCTTCCAGTTCCCCTCGGAAGCCACTGTTCTGATTGGACTTTTTTTTCTTTCTGGAAGGCACTCTAAGGAGAGTAAGACAGTAATCTTAGAGAACTTGTCTGCAACCATCCACTGTTGGCAGAGACATGCCTAAGCATGTTTTGTTTGGGATAAACCTGTGCATATATGAACTAGAACCCTAGTAACGATACTTTTTTACTTAACCTTCATATTTCCAATTGTATTTCTTTTCAGTTGTCCAGTAGCCTTCCTTCTGTATTTCCCTATATATATTTAATGTGTTTTTTTTTTTTACCATGAAATTAAGCTCAAGTTCAGAACTCTTGACACAGGTTGTTGGTAAGTGCCTTCGAGTCTGTTCTGGCTCATAGAAACCCTATGTAGGGTTTCCGTGGAGCAGTTGGTGGATTTGAACCGCCAGCCTTGAGGCTAGCAGTCCAGGGCTGATATTTCAGCACCACACCAGGGCTCCACAGGGAAGAGGTAGAGATGCCTTATTCTTTTAAAAAATAAAATTTGTATAGACTTTTTCCCATTAAAGACTTTTTGGGTACACAGTCTTAATAGATTATTTTCATGAGTTCCTAATAAAAATAACACATCAAATGTTGATGAAATTATTCTTCATGGAGCTTTTCTTTCTTCTTTTCAAGATACCGCATATGGTAAAACTTTACGGCAGCACCACGGCTGGGTAGTTCGAGGGGTTTTTGCGGTAAGATCTGTCTGCTTACTAATGTGTTACTGGTCGCAAGCAAAGTGTTTTTGTTGCATGTGTGTGTCTGGCTTGTTTGTTTTGTTTTGTCTGTTTTTAAGAAAAAAAGATAAAATGTTGCATCTTTCCTTTAAGTATAGGGCAATTGGTGTGTGCATGTATCTGCAATAAGAAGTGTCTAGACTAAAACGGTTCGAAAGTGTGCTTTGTCCTCATCTAATTCCAGTGACCTCACTGAAATTTGCCCAGAAGTAGTATCAGGGCAGTGAGCCCAAATGCTTGCCATTGAAGCTAGCCAGTCAGTGATGCATTCCAGTAGCCTCTGTCATAGCTGTATCGTGTATCAAAGCTCCCTCTGCTGGCCATGGTATTCAATCCAGCTAACGCCCAGATCACAGTTGAATTTTCTCTGTGACTGTTCAGTAAGTCGGACTTCTGGTGTTGTGACACTGCCAGTTAATGTGGTCAACTGCAGTGTCAGTTTGGGCCGTTAAGGCTGGCATTGCCAACTCACCAGCTGCTCCTTGGAAACCCTGTACAAGATAATCGCTATGAGTCGGCTCCTGACTCAATGGCACTTAGCAACAACAACATTCACTAAGTTGGGTGTGGCAGCAGCTAGGGCTAGAAATCTTTTCATATCCAGTTATTGTCACTGTACTGTGTGTGTGTGGAGGGGGGGCGGTGTTCATGCATTTGGGCTCCTGATACCTACCACCCCCTCCTCAACAGCTTGTTGAACTGGGAAAAACGTGAGAGTCACGTCCCTGGGACAGATTGGCTAGAGTACATGGCCCCTTTCTATCAAGGGAGAGGTCAGTGGTAGCCAAATGTAGCAGTGACAAGGCAGTCTCAGAGGCATTGTAGAATGCGCACATTCTTTAAGCCTAGGGGATAAAAATAGACTTGCAAGTAACGTCTCCTATTAATTCAAAGGATGTTGTTGTGAAGCGTCATTGAGGCGGTCTCACGCATAGTGACCCTGTATAGAGTTTCTGAGGAGCAGCTGGTATGTTTGAACCACTGATCTTGTGGTTAGAAGTCCAGTGCTTATCCTATAGCACCACACCAGGATGCCAGTATTAACCAGGCCCAACCCTGCTTAATTCCCAAGATCAGACAAGATCAGACACATTCAGGATGGTCTGTCCATAGAAAAATTAAAGGATATGAGACATCTTTTGCATAAGTTAAGAGTAGTGACTTATTAGGAAGTTAAGAAAGTAAAATAACTTGTGGTTCAAGAACGTAAGTATTAATGAAATTTAAATATTATTTGAAAGCATGGAAATGCATCCAACTGTTCACTGGGCCAATTAGTGTTTAAAAATTTTGCATATCCAACTTTAATGCATAGTTAATGATCATAAAATTACATACAGTAGTGGGTCAAGTGTTCAGTTGCTAACCACAAGGTCATTAGTTCAAACCCACCACATGCTCTTCAGGAGAATGATGAGGCTGTCTGGTGCTGTATAGATTTATAGTCTCAGACACCCCAAGGAGTAATTCTGTTCTGTAAGCTCCCTGTGTGTCAGAAATGTCTAGTGGCAGTGGATTTGGCTTACGCTTGGGCGTGTCGGACACCTATTGTATATACTGTTGGCTACTTATTGTATATCCAGTGCTTCCAGTTCATTCTCTGTGTTAAGCCTCAGGATTAACCTCCACTGGTTACCACTACCTTTTAAGACACCGGCTGTACTTAACCAAAGTTGGATGTAGAATAGTGTCTCTGTGGACTATGTATGCCAGTTGACCTTGGTGTCCCCTGAAACTAGGGTCCTATAACCCCAGGTCCAGTGACTCAGTCCCTAAAGGTACTCAGTTATATCTAAGGAATTCTCCTAACTTTATCCCATGTATGCTCTGGTAGTGTAGTGGTTACGAATTGGGCTACAAACCACGAGGTCAAAAGTTCAAAACTATCAGCCGTTCTGTGGGAGAAAGATGAGGCTTTTTGCTCCCGTAAAGATTTACAGCCTCGGAAACCATGCACAGGGTCCTATGAGTTGGAACCAACTCTACGGCACATAACCAACCAACAAATGCTCTACCACATTCATGGAAATTATTTACAGTGAAGATTAAGACCCATACACACACACACACACACACACACAACTCAATGGCACCTAACAACAACAAAATATGTATATATCCTGGTGTGGTGTTGTGGGCTAATGCATCAGACTGCAAAACCATTTGAACTGCAAGGTCAGTGGTTCAAGCTCACCAGCTGCTCCTTGGAAACCCTATACAGGGTTGCTCAGGGTCGGAATCAGTTCAACAGCACTTAACAACATATATATATCCATGGGTATACTCCCAGTTTCTCTCGCATGCCTGTCCACCCTGTAGGTCTCTCCATGCATCAATTGTGTAAATCACTATTATTGTAGGATAACATGAAATTTTTTAAATGCCAGAAAAGAGTATATGAAAATCATTTTTTCCTCATATTGAGGTACCATAATTAATTTATCGAATCTGCTGTTTTTGTTGTTGTAAGTTGCTATACATCCAATTGTGACTCGTGTTGTTGTTATTATGTGTATAACATTCTGACTCATAGCAACCTTACGCACAACAGAATGAAACACTTACCCGGTCCTGCACCAACCTCACAGTCTTTAAGCTTGAGCCTATTGGCCAGTCCATCTTGTTGGGGCTCTTCCTCTTTTTCACGGATCCTCCACTTTACCAAACATGATATGCTTCTCTATAGACTGCTCCTTCCTGATAATATGTCCAAAGTATGAGAGACAAAGTCTTCACCATACTGGTTCCTAAGGAGCACTCTGGCTGTACTTCTTCCAACACAGATTTGTTTTTTGTTCTGGCAATCTATGGTGCTTTCAGTATTCTTCTCCAACACCATAACTCAAATGCATCAATTCTTCTACAGTCTTCCTTAGCCAGTATCCAACTTTCACATGCATGTGAAGCTATTGAAAATAACATGGCCTGAGGTCAGGTGCACCTTAGTTCTCAAACTGACATCTTTGCTGTTGAACACTTTAAAGAGGTCTTGTGCTGTAGATTTGCCCAATGTGATATGTTGTTTTATTTCTTGACTGCTGCCTCAATGAGTGTTAATAGTGGATCCAAGCCAAATGAAGTCTTTGACAACTTCAGTCTCTTCTCCATTTATCATGATGTTATTTATTGGTCTAGTAGAGAGGATTTTTGTTTTCTATACATTGAGGTACAATCCATACCGAAGGCTGTGGTCTTTGATCTTTGTCAGAAAGGTGTTTTTTTTTTAAGATTTTGTTGTGAATTATGTGATAAAAGTTTACATGGGAGAACATTAGCTTTACATTCATCCTGTTGTATATCATTTCATTGCAATGATCACAATCCCCTGCATGCATCCTCAAACAACCAAAGGGTATACCCCGCAAGCCTGTCCTGCGGCCACCAGCACACAGCCCTTCTCCCTCCCTGAGTCCAGAGTCCCCAGCCGCTCCATCGCTCCACATCATCATCTCTGCCTCCATCTCTGGCATCACTGCTTCTCTGGGTAGGGTCCCACACTCCACTCTTCTCCCTTGATGGTCCCAGGAACCTCTGCTCCTGGACTGCAAAATCAACCACTCCCCTCCATTTGTTACAAAACATCTACCTTTATATTTCCAACCCTCACAGTCAGTCCTGATAGCAATTATTCACTGTTGTACCACAAGAGTCTTATCCTCATCTCCTTTTTACCAGCCCCATCCAGACAGATTGGAAACGATTCAGTGGATATTCTGCCTTTCCCCCACACCCTCTAGAACTAGACTCCCTCTTGAAAGCTTGTCACTTCTTGCCTTTGTACCCCCCCCCCCCATTTTAGGTAGCCAATGTCGAAGTTGCCCATCCCTGTCAACCCTGCGTACCAAGGGGGTGGGAATGATCCTTGCTGTAAAGATTTGTTCCCTCTTTTGAACTACATCTATAAGTATAGGTCAAGAGCATCAAATTGTAACAGATTACTCTTTTTTTCCTCTTCTTTCTTCTTCTAGTAGAGTTCTGATCATCCAGCCATTGAAGCCAGGTCAAACGGATGTTATCTGCAAGTATGGGTGTTCTTGTGTAACTCCCCTCACTTCATATCAGCTGGACACTTCACTCTCTGCTCTAGTCCTCTGTGGCCATGTCACTGACTGTCTCTGGGCCCAGGAGTCCCCGGATCTCGCCATACTGTTGGTCAACCAGGTCTCAACCCTGGTTCACAGGAGTCTATTGAACGTAGTCGGATTTAGCTCACAACTTCATTGCTGTTTCCCCCACACACACACACTTTCCCTGATCAGTGACCTCTTTGTCAGTAAGTAATTGAAGTCCTCTTCTCTTTCAGCAAGCAAGGTTGTATCATCTGCATATCACAGGTTGTTAATTAGTTTCTCAAATCTCGATGACACGTTCTTCATATAATCCAGCTTCTTGGATTATTTGTTCAGCATACGGTTTGGATAAATATGGTGAAAGGATACAACCCTGGCACACATCTCTCCTGATTTTAAACCATTCTGTGTCTCTTTGTTTGAGCAACTGCCTCTTAATCTATGTGCAGGTTCTTTATGAACACAATTAAGTGGTCAGGAGTACACATTCTCTGCATTGTTGTCCATAGCATAGCTTGTTATGATCCACTCAGTCAAAAGCCTTTTCATGGTCAATAAAGCACAGGTAAACATCTTTCTGATATTCTCTGCTTTCAGCAAAGATCCATCTGACATTAGCAGTGATATTGCTTGTTCCATGTCCTCATCTGAATCTGGCTTGAACCTCTGGCAGTTCCCGGTCAATATACTGTTGTAGCCATTCTTGAAATACCTGCAACAAAATTTCACTTGCATGTGATATTGTTTGATGATTTTCTCATTCCATTGGTTCATCTTTCTTTGGAATGGGCACAAATATGGATCTCCTCATCAATATTCTGTGGTCATTCTTGAAATACCTGCAACGAAATTTCACTTGCATATGATATTAGTGATATTGTTGGATGA